TGTTTGTTTGTTTGTTTGTTTGTTTGTTTGTTTGTTTGTTTGTTTGTTTGTTTGTTTGTTTGTTTGTTTGTTTGTTTGTTTGTTTGTCCTTCTTTCACTTCGAAACGGAGAGACGGATTGACGTTATTTTTTGTGTGGAGATGATTGGAGAGCTGGAGAGTGACATAGGCTACTTTTTACCGCGGTACATTATCTAACTCCCATGGTAAAACACGTTATAAAACAATCCAAAAAAATAATTATCATCAGAATTACTCGAAACTTGGCATTAATGCTCTTCAATAAAATTAAATAAATACGTGTTTTAGCAATTTTTCGAAATTCATTCTATAAGTGGGAAAAATAGGGGATAAATGTTTGTGTGAAACTACCTTTTTAGATATTTCTTTGTAGTTTTAGTGCGAGCGAAGCCGTGAGTTCTGCTAGTTTACATATAATTATTCCGCTCCAAAGGGTCACAACGTGATATGCCTTTATTGTTTTCCAATAAATAATTATTAATGTATGTATATAATGTATATAAATAATGTTTCTTTGTTATTTGTACTCTATACTTCTTAAACACAAAAAATAAATAAAATAAATAAATAAAAACCATTCATCCGATTACGATGAAACTTTGGTGAGTTTTTCACCGTACATTATCAAAGGCATTCTTAAATAATTCAGCACCTGAGTTAAGCAAGGGCAATTGCTAAAATACAAAAAAAAAACACGAATCGAAAAACATAAAAAAAACTCTACAGCTTTATATTAAATTGTTAATTTGATTTTCGATTTCGATAAATTACTACCGGAGAGGCAAAATTTAATATTTTGTCATTTCAATAAAAATTGCAGCATGCAACAATATTTTTATAACTCTTATAAAATATTTGTATCTGTTTTACTTGTATAAGTCAAAGTGATTGAATTGTTATCTTTTATCTAATAAAAAATTGATAATTGAAATTCAATCTTACCTATAAATCTCAACGTTAATTTGGCCGATACTGTTCATAATACCAAGTTTTCTCAGCACACAATAAATGATACAAGGCTCATCAGAGTCTTGGAATTCTATCCTTCTGCCTTTTGGGAACATTTCATTGAGACACTTCTCTGCTACCATGTCGGACATCTTCTCATGAGCGTACATGACTGATATACGAGCTTGCGTATATGGTAGAAGGAATATAACCAATGGTATTATTTCTGAAACAAAATAATAAATTAATTATATTTTTTATAGACGTCTTTCCGGCTACAACAACTAATAAAGTTTTAATTTTTTATTCCAATTAGTATTTTTTTCTTCGTATTTTAACTGAGACTAGCAGCGTGACTACCAAAAATAACAAAAGTTTTCAGAGCTTGGTCTAAGGGATTTTAGAATTATTAAACGACTGCTTTCAATTCAGCACAACCGGAAATAACAACTTAACTAGTTCCTAGAGCACGGAAACATATGTATATATATACTCCTATGTATATATATTGTAGCATGTGTTACTGGCAAGCCGTTTGTCTATAGTAATCCTTTATGATCGTTTAGCCAAGCTGTGTTAACAGAATTTAGATATGTACAATGCAGTTATAACTTAAACAAGATATCATTTAACAATTGTTGAAAAATAGACATTTTAACAATAATATTTGAATCACTTAATCGTTATGTCAAAGAATAATTAATATGGCATTCCCATATATTTAAGATTTCTATTCTTCGTTATTTGTAGAATGATTATCTTGCCTTGGTCCTATGATTAAATTTAATGAGTTTAATAGTTGTTCTAAGTAAAATAAAAAGTTTTGAAAGTTCATATTTTGCAAGATTGTATACTAGTGAGCATCATTCAATAGTATTTATACGCGCTTATTACTACTGAGGACATTGTTAATAGCATCTTGTTGATATTGTACTTTATCAAGCGTAAACCTCATTGCAATTTGTTTATATTGCAAAGATAATTTTACTCACGGTTTTGCGATAAGCATTCAGATTCTAATTCTACGGTTCTTCTGACTTTAGTTTTCTTTTGAGAGGATTCGTGTTAAGCGAAGGACCTAGAGATAAAAGCTAGAACGAAAGAGAGAACCAAAGAGATAGAACCTAGCTATAAAAGTTTATCTCGCTTTGGAATGGAATCCGTCAAAACGATAATGACAGTACGTAGATACTATACGTCGTGTCAGACAATTTTAAGAATAATTTATTAGTAGATTTTATGTGCTTCAAGCCATATTTTCAAACGGCCGTTTCATATATCAAGATTTAGAGCTAATAATTTCGGTTGCACCTATTCGTTGCGATGTCATGAATATAACAAATGTATGCAGAATTACAGGACTGGCTCGTCAAAGCAATTTCATTGATAGCTTTTCACGTCGTTAGCTCTGTGCTCGAATTTTATTTACCCGTTTTGCCTCGTTAGCAAGATTGTGTGGGCATATGAGGTTTGTTTAGGACAAACTGTCTTTACCATAAAGTATTCGAATAAGTAATAAATTATTCGACTGCAAAATTATTCTCAAACTTATCATTTTATTATTTCTTGAATTATTTCATATATTCATAATATATCCATCTCTCTCTATTTTATTTTCATTACATACATACATATATATTATTAAATGACATATTATGTATAAAATAAAATACTTAAAAAAAACTTTAAATAATATTTATTACAAAGAGTGATAAAATAATACAAAAAAATATAAATACACAATACGCAAAAATTATACATCCATCTCTCTATATGATATGACGTACAGTTGCGTACAATCGTTAAAAACCTTCGCTTTTTTACACACGTCGTGGTCCAGATTCATCCCATTTATATTTTGGGCACAAGTCTCCCCAACATCGGATATCAGGATCCTGGGGTCATATCGATGTAAGGCTTGCACCCGTCTGTAGTAGTTGCGAATGTTTATAATTCCATCATTAGTCATTATACCGAATTTCTTCAACACACAATGTATTATACAGGGTATGTCATTTCGGTCAATATGAAGAGGGTATTTGTATAAGTTTCTAGGGTACATTTCTGTTAGGCATTCGTTTGTGATGATGTCACTTTTCGTATCTCGCGCATATAAGATTGATAAGGATGGCTCAGTTTCCAGATTTTGAGAGAACTTGTGTTTGTAACTATCCACTGTTAGAGCAAAGTATGTAACAGCTATGAAGAGTAACACTGAAATTAACAAAATTCAGCACATATCAGATGTTGAATTTGTGAGTTGAAATGGTATTCGGTAAATTTTTTTATGTAGCATCCATTGTACTTGATGGGAAGTGCAAAGAAATGATATTTTACCGATAATTTTCATTTAATCAATCTTGCATGACTTTTTTAATCTTATTACCATTTTTGGAAGTAATTTCAAGAGTTCATCGCTTTACACATTTTTATAATGAATTCTTTTCTTGTTTTGTGATATTCGTCAAAGGGTATGATAATAATAAAATATTAAACAATTCGTATGTACGTAAAATTCGTATTTCGGTATATATTTGGTAAAAATATCACATAAAATTTCTGTAAACATTTTTAACGTTTTATGGATCATGAATGGATTACTTTTGTATTGATTAATTTATAAATTTTAAATAAAATAACATAACAACTAATACAAAAAAAGTTATTCTTTTCAATACGATTTGCTTTCAAATTAACAAGTTCAATCGTTAAACCATACAAAAAAATATCGGTTGAAGGAGCAATTCTATAACCAATTGTATTAAAATAATGTTTTATGTAACAAGTGATGTTTATATATTACATATTTATTAATTACTAGCGACTCACCCTCGCCTCGCTCGGGTTCCTCCCTAGGTTGATACCCCATACAAACCTTCATCCCCATTTTCACCCTTTTAAGGGATGATTTCGGGGATAAAAAGTAGCCTATGTCCTTTCCAGGGTCTCAAGCTATCTTCTTGCCATTCATCTAAATCGGTTCTGTAGATCCAGAGATTACCCCCTATAACTTCACAAATTCACAATTCACAAACTTTACCTCTTTATAATATTAGTATAGACTTATCACAGTTTAGTTTATAATTATATGTTTGGAAATGTAGAATTTAAAAGTGGCTAAAACAATATTTATAGTTAGTCAGTTTGTCTGTAACAGATTTGCATAATATATAAATAAACACCCTTATTTCCTTACTTGTATTATAATTTCAAAAGGATGTTTGTTGGTTGGAAGTTGAAAAGGCAAAACAGGAAACTGAATGGTTATTGATTTGCCCATCCTTGACATTGTGATAGAGCTACGAATACTCACTGATATAATATTTGGTAAATTATATAATGGGCTTTAGACGGTAGACAACTTTTGAACTCAGCATATGAAGGAATTCCTAAAACGTAATATTGGTGTGAATAGTTAGTGAAGGACGCTCAAGATGTGGATAAGCCTAAGTGAAACGCATGATAACATAGTATGTACAAACATAATCTTACCTCACTTCTTACTATATACAATAATTAAAATTCGCTTATCTATACTATAATATTATAAAGACGTAAAGTTTGTGAGTTTGTGACGTTGTAGGTTGTAATCTCTGGATCTACTGAAAATTTGGTAAAAACATAGTTTGAGACCCTGGGAAGGACATAGGATACTTTTTATTTTAAGGGGGTGAAAATGAATTTGTATGGAGAATCAAACTAGGGATGAACCCAACCGAAGCAAGGGTGAATCGCTAGTATATGTATATGTTGTATATCTATAACCTATTATATTATGTCTATGTTAAGAACTCTATGATTGTAACTATTGTCTATACCTTATCTAGCTCTCTGGTCTGAATCATTGTATTGTAATGTCGAGTCACGTCTTTGAGTCAAAACTGTCTAAAAATAATAAAGTCATATCAAGTCGATCAAGTATATTTATTAACCTAGCATCATAAAACGTGGTGTCAGAAGTCGCAACAAAGTGAAGAATATATATATTTCACATCATCTCAAAGTCAATTGTTATAAAATTGAATCTTCAAAATGTCGACGTCTATAAAGCAAAACGTGGAAGCATGTTCTCAAAGTTATAACTTTAGTAATATACCGAAATTAAACATTGCAACGAATCAAAATAACAATTCTAATTGGAAGAAATGGTGGCAACATTTCGAGCTTTTTCTTCTTGCTACGGGTTTGGAAGAAGCACCTGAGAAAAGGAAGATAGCAATTATGTTACACACAATTGGAGAAAAAGGTATAGAAATTTATAATTCTTTCAATATAGACATAAACAAAATTACTTTAAAAGATATAAAAACTAAATTCGACAACTATTTTGAGCCTCAGAAGAACTTAACTATTATCAGACATTCCTTTTTTACGAGAATGCAGAAACCCGAAGAGGGAATCGACGCATTTCTTACGGACTTACAAAATATTGGAAATAAATGTGAATTTGGTACACTGAAAGAATCACTAATTAAAGATATTTTTATAGCTAATATGAGTTCTAGATTAACACATGTTCGACAAAGATTATTGCAAGAGACTGACTTAAAACTTGAAAAAGCTATATCTATTGCCAAAACTGTCATTATGGCACAACAAAATGCACAAACAATGGAAAATTCTCAACATTCTGATACTGTTTTACACATATCACAGTCACAGTATACAAAGTCACAGTCAAACAAACAGTCTACGAGTAAAAACAGAATTAACTCAAATAAAAATTTTACTAGTCGACGTAGTCAAAGTCCGGTACCAAAGACAGGTAACAACAAGAAATGTACTCATTGTGGTCAACATTATCACCGTTTCAAATGTCCTGCGTCAGGAGTAAGGTGTAAAATATGTCACAAGATGTGTCGTCTTATCCAGTCCAAGATGCCGAAGAGGTATCAAACAATGATCCAGAACAATTTTTCATCGGTATGGTGAAGAGTGTCAACAACAATAAGTCATGGTATTTATCAGTTCTAATTAATAATGTTGAAGTAAAATGCATACTTGATTCCGGTGCTGATACCAATATAATGTCTCTTAATACTTTTAACAAATTAAATTTATCACAGTCTATTATTAAAAGTTGTAGTGCAAATGTTAAAGGTTTCGATGGTTCGTCTATAGAAGTATTTGGTCAGTGTAATTTAAAATGTTTTTTCAATAATTGTCAAAGATACATATTATTTTTAATAGCAAATATTGATTGTGCTACTGTATTAGGTCTTCCCACATGTAGGGATATAGGAATATTAAAAAAAGTTTATGCAGTCAACAGTAACGATAAATTTCTTTCTAGTAACCAAATTTTAAAATACTTTAATGATGTTTTTCATGGATTAGGATGTCTACCACCTGTCTGTCACCTCAAGTTGCAGCAGAATGCAATTCCATGTGTTGATCATCCCAGAAAAGTTCCATCTGGATTAAAAAATAAGTTGAAAAAAGAATTGGATCGCATGTCAAAATTAAAGGTCATAGAAAAAGTCACATATCCAACCGAATGGGTAAATTCTGTAGTTATCACTGTCAAGAAATCAGGTCAGTTAAGAATTTGTTTAGATCCGAGAAATCTTAATAAATATATAGTCAGAGAACATTATCCACTTAAAAGCATAGATGAAATTAGGTCAATATTGAATGGTGCTTCATATTTTTCTCATCTTGATGCTTATTCAGGGTTTTGGATGTTAAAACTTGATGATGCTAGTTCAGATCTTTGCACATTTCAAACTCCTTTTGGTCGTTATCGATACTTAAGATTACCTTATGGAATTAATGCTTCCTCAGAAATTTTTCAAAGAGTTATGACAGATATTTTTTCTGATATAGAAGGTGTTTTGGTTTTTGTAGATGATATTTTAGTATTTGGTGAAACAGAACAAATTCATAATCAAAGATTATTAAAAGTCATGCAAAGGGCTAGAGAAGTTAATTTAAAGTTCAATAAAAATAAATGTAAATTTTCAGTCAATGAAATATGTTTTTTAGGTTATATATTTAGTAAAGAAGGTGCAAAAGTTGATCAAAATAAAGTTAAAGCTATTCTTGATATGCCAGATCCAACTAACGTCAAAGAGTTACAAAGAATATTAGGAATGATTAATTACTTAGGACCTTTTATTAAAAATTTGTCAGATAAAACAAAAATTCTCAGAAATCTGTTAAAAAAGAATACTATATGGTTATGGGATGAAAATTGTAGTAAATGTTTTCAGTTATTAAAGGAGGAAATAACAAAATCTCCTATTTTGGTACATTACAATCCAAATATATCTCTTGTTTTGTCAGTAGATTCATCCAAGTCAGCATTAGGCGCAGTTCTCATGCAAAATAAACAACCTATTGCTTATAGTTCTAAAACTTTAACAGCTACACAAGAAAAATATGCTCAAATAGAAAAAGAGTTATTGGCTATTCAATTTGGTTGTGAAAAATTTCACCAATATGTATATGGTAATAAGGTAACCGTACATACTGATCATAAGCCGCTAGTTTATTTGTTTAAAAAACCATTAAATGATGTACCTGCAAGGTTACAGAGAATGATGCTTTCATTGCAAGCTTATGATTTAAATGTTATTTATGTACCTGGTAAAGAGATGTATATTTCAGACACACTTTCTAGGGCAGCTTTAAAAGAAAATTATATTCCTAATTATGAATCAGATTTATCTTTTCATGTTAATTCTTTATATTCTAATTTAGCTATTAGTCAGGAATATAAAAATAAAATTTTAATTGCTACTAATTCTGATAAAGACTTACAAAAATTAAAAAAATATTGTCTAGAGGGATGGCCTGTTAGTAAAAATAAAATGGATCCTTTATTAAAATATTATTGGAATATTCAAGGTGAAATACATATTATTAATGATTTATTGTTTAAAAGTGATAAATTAATTATTCCAAAATCAATGCAAAGTGAAATGTTAAGGAAAGTGCATGAAGGTCATCAAGGTATTAACAAATCTTTAAATTTAGAAGTATTATTTTTTGGCCAAATATGAGCGCAGATATAAAAAGCTTAGTTGATCAATGTCTTATTTGTGCTAAATTTAAACCAAATAATCAACAAGAACCTCTTCAAAGCTATGATATTACAAGTTTTCCATGGCAACAAGTCGGTATTGATTTAATGTATTTTAATAGCAAGAATTACTTAGTAGTTACTGATTATTATTCCAAATTTATAGAGTTAGCAATTTTAAATAGTCAATACACAGCATCTAATATAATAATACAATTAAAGTCTATCTTTGCTCGTCATGGTATACCCATGAAATTAGTATCTGATGGCGGTCCACCGTTTAATTCTGCTGAATTTAAATCTTTTTTATATGCTTGGGATATTGAACATATTATAACTAGTCCATATCACCCGAAATCTAATGGACAAGCTGAAAGTTCTGTTAAAATTATGAAAAATTTATTAAAAAAATGTTTAGAGTCAAATAAAGATCCTTACATGGCATTGTTATAGGAACACACCTAAAGCTAATTTTCCATCGCCAGCTCAATTATTAATGTCTAGAAATTTAAGAATGCATATACCAATTACTAATAAGAAACTTAAACCAAAAATTGTCACTTTTAATGAATATAAAAATAATTTTGAGAAAAATCGTGCTCGGAGTAAAATTTACTATGATAGAAATAAGAAACAATTACCATTATTACAGCCAGGAGATTATATAACTTTTAAAAAAAATCCTAATTCAGATTGGCTTCCTGGAAAAGTCATTAAAAGATTAGATTGTCAACGTTCATACATAATAGAAGACGCTGAAGGTAAAAGATATAGAAGGAATAGATTTTTAATTAAATTTAATTGTAATGATAGTTGTCATAAGTTTGATAATGAGATGAAATCCAACAATTTTGAGGAAAGGGATAATCAGCAGAGGAACAGACAGATGGATACTAATAATAAAGAGATGGATAAAAATATTAATTTACAGGAGAATTGTAATAAAAGTAGATCAGGTAGAGTAATTAAGAAACCAGATAGGTTGAATTTGTAAATTTGTAATACTGTTAATATGTTCTGTAGTACATAACTATTGTTTTTCAGTATAAGTAAAAAATCTAAATGTAAACTTTATTTTATAAAAAGGGAGATGTTGTATATTCTATAATCTATTATATTATGTCTATGTTAAGAACTCTATGATTGTAACTATTGTCTATGCCTTATCTAGCTCTCTGGTCTGAATCATTGTATTGTAATGTCGAGTCACGTCTTTGAGTCAAAACTGTCTAAAAATAATAAAGTCATATCTAGTCGATCAAGTATATTTATTAACCTAGCATCATAAAACAGTATATATTTGCTTTTCGTATTTCTATATAATTTAATTACACATTCTAAAAATATATCAAAGAGGAAAAGTTTATATATAGAAAGCCAGACTACCTTTGATGTTAAAATATGAAATGCTTGTCGACGTGGCACGTGAGTATTCGTGGGCGAAATCAAGTTAAGTAACTTTGCCTAATATTAATAATACATGCATATTTTATGTACAATAAGGTACGTACAATGTAGGAAATTAAAAGGTATAATACTTCACAATCGCTTTAAAAACATTTTGGTCTAGACTTCCGAATAGCTCGTTTCTCTGATTAATCTGATTTTTTGTATATACATATTTGAATTCCATCGCACTGATAACGAATATGTAATTTAAAGTACCCGCTTTTATTTTCAATGTTAAATCTAAGAGATTTTTTTTATGTTTTTCGCTTTTATTGCGATAAATATCGATTTTAGGCAAAAGTTTTTTTCCACAAAAGTCGTAGGCCATAAAAAGAATGTCATTTTTATATTATGTGCAATATGTTTTTTTTTGTGTAGAGCCTGTAGTTTGGGAGAAAAATGAGAATTATCTCCAAAATTTGTATAAGTTTTTCGTTAAAATTTCATTAGTTTCCATATAATTTACTTATGCAGATTAAAATATAGTAAGTAGACTATTTGTGAAATTGAAGTGGATTATTTATTTGTAAATTTTATTTTTTTACTATGTGACAAGCGATTTGGATAACGGAAGTTGAGAACCTTCTCGTTAGGTCTTTTTTTTATTACCCCCCCAACGTGCGTTCACCTTGTCGTGGGGGGGGGGGGCTCAGTAGTGCCCGGCAATCCATCGGGTGCGAAGCCAAGAAACGCACAGGGAGGTGCGGGAGCCCACTTCGGCGGGCGGTGGAAGGTGGCCCTCTTCGGAGGGCGGTGTACCATGCGGGTTGCTCCTGGTACTTCTCTGATAGCAGAGTGGACTTTGGAGCAACCCCATGGTTGTTGTGGTCTGCTTCGGCAGACCTGCCGTCGGGGGGTCGTAGTTGAATGCGTAAGCGATCCTGCGACGCCCCATTAAGACGGGGGAAGGTTTTGTTGGGTTTTAGCGGGTAATACTGGCTTTGCTGGTGAGTCCCACACCTCGTGCGTAAATGCATTTCCCAACGGTAAAAAAAGGTCTTTTTTATTTCAAATTCAGAAAACCCAATAACATAAGTGCTACGTTATTTTGAATTGGGTGGCAGTTTCGACTTGAAATTGTAAGTGTCAGACCGTATCAGGAGAATTGGAATTGTCAAAATGACATGCATTTTTATTCATTTTTCAAGAATTTAAGATGATACACGTTTTTCCTAAACTTTATCAAAATAAAATATTTGTATTACTATGAGCCAACTTTATTGGTATGATTTGAAATGGGAATTTACCATGTCTTTCGCTTTCTTTTTTGAGTTCCTGATATTTAAAGTACCTTAGCGTATACTTATGAGATAAATATTCTGTTTCAAAACAAAAATAATGTAAATCACAAAAGTTTAAAGCGTTCTACCTGTTTTAATTTGGGTCCCAATAACCAGCATTGTTGTTACCTTAATTTCTATAAAATAAGTACTGTATTATGATTCCACAAAATGTATTTTATAATATATTAAAATTTTCTCAAGTTATATATAAATACATATACTCCAATGTGAATGCAAAAATTACCTGATATTTAAAAAAAATACTTACTTTCCATATTACTTTTTATTAAGTACATCACAAAGTTACAATAATAGTATAAAATTGCCACTCCATTTGAATCTTACATCACAAACTGAAATCTTCCATAACTTCCCAAGTTTTGTTTCGAGCTACTTATATGTATGTTTTATACACTCGGAAAATTTTGCAAACAATCGTTATTGTTCGATCTTTGATAAGAGTAAAAAGTTAAAAAGGAATCTACTTGCCAGGTGTAATTTGTAATACGTAAGTATAATTTTTTTATTACTTATTACAATCCATACTAATTAATATATTATAAATGTGAAAGTGTGTTTGTGTATTTATCCTTTCACGTTGAAACGGAATGACGGATTGGTGTGATTTTTGTGGGGAGATAGTTGGAGGGCTGGAGAGTGACATAGGCTACTTTTTACCGCGAGATATTATCTCATTCCCACGGGAAAACATGTTATAATACAACCCAAAAAATATTTGTGATCAGAATTACTTGAAATTTGGTAAATGTTCTTCAATACAATTAACAAAATAGGTGTTTTAGTATTTTACGTTTTAACGGTTAATATGAAATAGATAAATGTACATATATTTATATTATTTATTTCCCAACTTAAACTTTGACGCATTGCTGTAATTCGTAATGATTTCCATACAAAATAAACTCTTCTGAACTTTTCGATGTTCCAGCTGTTCTTATTTATTTTCCCTATTTTTTTATACTCGAACCCCCCTTGACACACTCCCCACAAAAAAAAAAGAATTATTCAAATTAGTCCAGCCATTTTTGAGTTTTAGCGAGACTAGGTAAGTATTTCGTTTCTGAAGCACGATAAAAGTTCTTATTAAAAAGAGATAAATCAAATAAGAGATAAATCTCTAGAGTAATTTTAGACGCCTAGTAACAGAGCGGCGGTGTTACGAAAGCCATTTAAATGACAGATTCTGCTTTCAGCTATTGAAGTTATCTCATTCTAATATTGAATTTTGGTGAACTGACATAAAATGGAATGTATTATATTCGATATGATATTATATTTGACTAGCATTGCCCGCGGCTCCGCCCGCGTTCAGATGACCAAAAACCAAATTCTTAGGTTTTACATATTAGTATTTAGTATACTCTTACAATGCAGTTTTTGTATTTTTTCTCAGAAATGAGATATTTTCCCGCGGTAAAAAGTATCCTATATGTTGACCCGGATAACCAACTATCATCATACCAAATTTCATCAAAATCTGTCCAGTGGTTTTCTCGTGATGTGGTAACAGACAGACAGACAGACAGAAATTTTAAAAACTATAGATTTAGACTCTGTGTCGATAATAATGTCTATTTCAATTAAATTTTCCAAAAAATATTTAACGTACAGATTCGACTTAGTTACAATTTTATTATACGTATAGATTTGATTCAATAGGACGATTTATTACGTATTCGTAGTTTCTATAAGTATTACTCTATAGAGCTCAAGCTGTATTTTTATAGCAGTTGAAGTATTAGATATGGTATGGTACATTATAAAATCCATCCAGTACGCGCCTTTAATTTAAACGGACATGCTGCGAAAATGCGTTGTTAAGAAATACTTATTTTCCTGGCAAGCAATTTCGAAGTTAAAGCGAGGTAGTGTTCGTAGCATATTTGACATAAGTGCACTCTCTATTCCTTTTACTCTCCGATAGAACGACACCTCGTCACAATTGGTGTGAGATCAAGCGCAAGACTGACGGCTTTACATACTCTTCGAGGTAGGTACGGGGCTAAACACTTTTAATCTCCTATCTCCGGGTTCTTACTAAGAATGTTTTAACAGAAAAATTCAAAATTAAACTTAGTTCGACTCGGGACTCGAACCCAAAACCTTCGGATCTGCAGTTGTATAAATTAGCCACTAGACTAACTAGGCACTTATACCTGTTAATCCTATAGAAATTTTCTGTCATATATAAGAACGTGTTACGGTTGAGCGCATCTCACCCACGTCTTCATGGTCATCGGCATCATCACTGCCGTGTCTAGATGCTTTCGTTAGAGTACTGTATTATATTGTCTCTATAATATTTTATAGTGTCATGTCATCAAAGCTAACTCTCTCATGGGATAAACATATCAATTTATGATGTTAATATTTCTTTTAGAAGCAATATGCAATGTTAAAACTTAATTTGTTAGATTATGCCAATTTAGGCGTAACATTATTATATAATATTCATATCTCATTATATTTAACGCTATTTTCATTATAGATTAGTACTAAATAATGAGTAATTAAGATTACCGTCTCATATGCGAAAGCTCTTGGAAACTATAAAAGCAGATTAGTTAATTTTCAGCGAACAAAGGGAATTCGCCCTAATGGGTGAATAAGCAGCTTACAAGAAAGTTTTCTTCATTTTATTTACATTTAACGTTGCCTTTTTATAGAAGTAATATAAAAAAATAGTAAAGTGCTCACGCAAATCTCTCAACAGCGAGATCGCTTCCCAATTTTTGTTCTCTATTTCCAAAAAAGTTTACCTTATAATATGTTGTTGAAGTACAAATTTGTAGAGAATTTTATGCTCTCTCTACCACTGTAATAATGACTTGAAATTTCATTTTAGGGAACGTAACAAGATATTTACAGAAAACCAATTTTGTGACCTTTGCTTTTTGATAAATTGTGACCCAAACATGAGATTCAATAGTGTATACGTTTTAGCCAACATATAAAATGCTTCAATAAAGATATATTCAAGTTTGTAGCTCTTTTCAAGGTTTACCTCTTTTTTACCTTGTATTTATTCCACCAAAATAGAAAATGTCAGTCAAATATATATAGCGTGTCTTTGCCATCGTACGTCTTACTATTAAGAATTTCTAAAAATATTCTTGGAAGTAAAGAATAGTACTAACAGACAAATGATTAAAGATAAATACGGGATAGGAGTACAAAGGGAGTTCTAATTCGGTAGATTTATACAGTTTCGTATACCTATTAATATTCCGAGATTGAG